CTGGAGGCTCCCAAGGCGCACCATTGAGTGTGTACTGGGCCAGCCAGGTGGAGGCACCGCCATTGCATATTCTTTAGGTGCCAGGGACTGCAGCAATGGGGTGGATAAGGAATCGCCAGCTAAATATCATCACCATTGAGGTACTCAGGATCTCCTTTTATGGTAGAAACATCAGGCGCCCAGGTACGCATGAGTGTGACCTGCTCCCGAGTAACCCAGGGAGGAAAAAAGGAGTTACATAAGTCAAACTTTTCACTTTAGAAAAAAGCCAGAACTAATTTGTTTTTGAAGTTGTTTTAGTGATTTTTATTTAAAATAATTTATTTCCATCAATTATTCCATGTTTCTGCATCCTTACTAAGGGTTATTGTGGATTGATGGTATGTGTTTTTGATTGTGACCGGTGTAACTGTATCAGTTACCAATTAAGTATGTCTTGATATTGACTGCAGAATTATTATTTTTAATAGTCTATTTAATACCATTAAAATTCAGATGGGTCTTATCAATGCTTGATTAACAAAAGAGATTATTGGAGAATAGAGACAGATAAGGCTGCTGCTAAGGTTGTGAACGACTAGTCGACTAAGGTTGTTTTGTATTTCTGATTGACTGTATAAGTGTTGATACATGGGTTCCCATACAAATAGACAAGTTTTTACCACAGTCACATTAGCTTGTATTACACTACTTATCCATCAGCCTTAGGAAAGGAAAAGCTTAGTTACCATTAAAAATGCAAGTTTGTTTATAGCAGTGGTTTTCAACCTGTGGTCCATGGACCACTGGTAGTCCATAAACTATGGCTAAGATTTCAGTAGGGATCTGCACTTCCATTCAAAAAATTTTAGGGGTCTGCAAAAGAAAAAAGGTTGAAAACCACTCGTCTACAGCATACTTGAATGAGACTAGACAGTGGTTACATTTCAGAGAGGTAGGAAAAGCTACAACTTTGAAATAGTAAAGAGAAATAATAAATCTGGGGGTGGAGATCCTGGTATTAAAGGATTGAGTGGTATGCATGGATGTGCCCTATATTCCTTCCTATGGAGCGGGGGCTTCAGCCTTCCTGCTCTCCCTAAATGGTGCCTGGGGGAGGAGGGACTTCAGAGTTGGAGTAGTCCCAGACTTGTGAGGGAGTGCACTGCCAGCTGGCCCCTTTAACATGCCTGGCTGCCTGCTGCTTAGCATGCCAGCCTACAGCAAAAAGCCCTGGAAAAAAATAAAATAAAATAAAGCAGAGCACCTCACATGTCCTCGCATAATTGGGTCTACCCATATAGTCCCTAAGGATAGGTTAGATTCCCATTTAATGAGAGAAGGCATTATAGTCACTTTCTCATGGCTAAGGCAGGGCTCAGAAATAGGCTTCCACTCATTATTCTGTTGAGCAAAAATAGCATAAAAGAAGTAATCCTTAAGGAAAGGTAACTTGCAATAGTTTAAAGGAATGGCACTAGATTGTGGTGAGCAATACAACCCCGCTGGATCATCAGAGTTAGCTCCTGGTGGGCTACTTCTGCTATGTTTACCTGCTCAACGCAGGTCAGGGTGATCGCAGCTCCCATTGGCTGGGAACGGTGATCCATGGCCATTGGGAGCTGTGATACCTTGTACCTGCAGAGGTGTAAGTAAATACAGCAGTGAGGGGGCCAGTCAGGGACTAACCCTGACAGACCAGATCTGGCCTGTGGTCTGTTGTTTGCCCACCCCTGTACTAGATAGAGGATATGGTTATTTAAGAAAACTAACACCATCCACTTGCATTTATCCAATATACACTTTACAATTGAAAGCTTGTATGTCGGTCTAAAGTTTCTATAAACTTAGAATTGGAAGAATGTCAGTTGCCATTTCTGATGCTGTCTTAAGTTCTTGAATAATGTGTGGTGAAACAGAAAGATGCATTCTATGTTTGTTTTTGTAAATAGACTGTTAGTCCTTAGGCTGAAATAGTCTTGATAATCTTCCAGGATGTCTGTTCTGTAGGGATTTGGGGTAAAATTGATGGTATGTTCTCAGATGCAAAGGATGGATAGAAAAATGCTGCTGCTTAGTTCTTATGTACTAGTTGTCTGATTTATCCGTCATTGATAGTTTATTGTTGCTGTGGGATTTGTTAATGTTTGCTGTGTTGTCCTTATGTTGTCAGGTTAATTATTAGAATGCTTAGAACATTTTGCATATGTTTTTTTCCATTATTTCCTTGTATTTATTTAAATAAAATTGTTCCGCCCTTACCCCATCCTTGACAGAACAATGGTATTTTGATTATTCAGAATAATTGGCCTAACCATTTATTAGGTTAAAGCAGTGCATAATTATAGTTGAAAGGTTTTTGTTGTTTTCTGCTTTTGTCTCCTTGATATGTTACTCCTCTTTAATCCTGTTATCTCCTTGGACAATGACCATGTGGAGTAAGACCAGCTCAATGCTGCTACAATTGTATAATAAAGCTAAAGCTTAGAAGTTAAAGGAAATGCTGGTAGTGTTGAACATAATTTTCTAACTGGAACTTTTATGTATTCATTATTTTTTCATCTTGCATTAAAGTATTCACATCAAAGTACAAATAAAATGAATCATTCATTTTAGGAGGCATATAATGGAATAGGGGTAATTTAATTTTAAGACTATGAAACAGAAAATGATCCAAGAAACTTTTGGTCTAGATAACCTGCCTTCAGTCTTGGGCCAAATCATGGGAAGGCTGCTATGGTATGCTGTCAGTACAGATTTAAAAGATAGTATTATTAATGCCACTGCCAATCAGCATGGTTTTATGGAAAGTGCACTTCAAATGTTATAGTGTTTGATGTCACTGATTTGGTTGTTAAAGGTCACTTGGATATAATATACTTCTGTAAGGAATTTGGCTTTGTATTTGTATTTGTATACATATTTAAAATATATAAAACATTCAAACATCAAACATCAAACAAAATCAATGTTGGCATATTACATAGATTTTTAATTTGTTTGAGTTCATAAAGTAATTAGCGGTGAGGAGTCCTGTGACACCTTATAGACTAACTGAAGTGTAGGAGCATAAGCTTTCGTGGGCAAAGACCCACTTCGTCAGATGCATGTGGGTCTTTGCCCACGAAAGCTTATGCTCCTACACTTCAGTTAGTCTATAAGGTGTCACAGGACTCCTCACCGCTAATTACTTTATGAACTCAAACAAATTATTAAAAATGGAGTCATCCAGTGAGAATGTTTGTGGTAGGATCCTGGAGGTATCTGTTCTTGGCCCAATGATATTCAATATTTTTATCAGCATTCTAGAAGAAAATGCAAAATCAGTGCTGGTAAAATGTATAGAAGATAAAAATATGGGTAGAGTGGTAAATAATAAAGGGGCCAAATCATTATACAGACTAACCTGGATCACTTACTGAGGTGGGATTATTGGAAGAACATGCCTTTTAACAAAGTCAAATGCAGAATTATACCTCCAGGATTGAAGAATATAGGTCACACTTATGGGACCATACCTTTATAAACAGTGACTATGAAAAGGACTTGAGTCACGGTAGATAACCAGTGGAAAATGCAATGTGGTAAGTATGACTCTTTGATGTAGCAGAAAAAGATATTCTGTGATTCAGTGGTTGGAAGCTGAAGCTAGAAAAATTCAGTGTAGAAATCAGGAATAATGAACATTCTCACCAATTTACATGATTGTTTCCCTGGGGTACCTACAGTTGTGAAGCACCTTCTTAATGTCTGCCCTTACTGTGTTCAGCCTTGTCAATGCCCGCTAGGGTTCAGCTCCCCAACTCCACCCACCATTGGCAAAATGAGCACTCCCACTAGGCCACACAAGCCCCGCTGTGTCTCTACAGGGTAGCAGTACACACACTCCAACCCTCAGACTGTCTGAGCTTCTCCTTGGAGTGTAGTGTCTGATCCATTGACCACTCATAGTACTTGCAAATTGGCTGCTTCCAAAGAACAGAATATGTGAGAAAAAACAACAAATGGTCTGGTAGCACTTTATAGATGAACAAAACATGTAGATGGGAGCATGAGCTTTCGTGGGCACAGCCCACTTCTTCTGATGACCGGAGTTATGAGTTGTAACTCCTTAGGCTATGACTACATCGCAGCGTTACTTTGGAATAACTAATGTTATTCAGAAATAACAAAGAGCGCTTCTACAAGCCATTATTTTGAAATAATTTTGAGCTGGAGGACTTCTTACTCCAACTCCTGTAACCCTCATTTCAGGAGGAGTAAGGGAAGTTGAAGAAAGAGAGTTCTTCCTTCGACTTCCTGCTTAGTGCCAAAAGCTGAATTAAGCTATTTTGACTTCAGCTACGCAATTGATGTTGCTCAAGTTGTGTAGCTTAATTTGAGTTTTGCCCTGCTGTGTAGACGTATCCTTGGAGACTGACAAAAATATATAGGATCATGATCTTTCGTGGGTAAAATCCACTTCTTCAGATGAGTGAATTGGGATTTACCCATAAAAGCCCACGATCCTATATATTTTTGTTAGACTCTAAGGTGTCACAGGACATGGGCTGTTAAAAAGCATTTAAGTAACCATATAATTGCTGAACATTTCAGTAGTTATATGCAAGGTGGTAGTCAGCTCCCCATGAGCTGGTGCGTGTCAGTAGCCAACTTTGCCTTTGCGTACACTGGGAGCCTGCGTGTAACCGAGAACATTAACTCATCAGTACATGGTGTGTTACACTATAACATCCCTACACAGGACTACTCATTGTCACACAAAACTTGTTCAGTCTGTGCAGGATATTGTTAGCGCTTCTGTCTTTATCAACTTTGACTTCTTTGAGATCAAGTACTATGACTCAGTATAGTACCAACCAATCATTTTGCAGTTAGGAAAAAAAATAAAATTATTCAGTAGTTCTCTGTTGTTAAAAATACAAAAAAAAAAACACAAAAAAATATTTTAAAATTGACTCTGAGTGATTTGTTTTGCTCCTTCTAGTCCTCTACACTTAATTATTTTCTTCTAAATTTAGAGCTCTCTTTGACTACGACAAGACTAAAGACAGTGGCCTTCCTAGTCAGGGACTGAACTTCAAATTTGGCGATATCCTCCATGTCATCAATGCTTCTGATGATGAGTGGTGGCAAGCACGGCAGGTGACACCAGAAGGAGAAAGTGATGAAACTGGAGTGATTCCAAGCAAACGGAGGTATATTTAATGATCTTTGTTCAGTTTGAGATCTTTGCCATTAAAATATGGTTGTATTCATGCCCAATCAAGTACTGTGTTCTCTCAATTTAATTGTGTCAGCCATTCCACCAAAGTGTTTTTATGAGAAACTAGAAAAGTATGCTAATCCGCACTAGATTATTAGATTATTATTTATTAGCAGGGCTCGACAAATAATACAATCTACTCACCTGTGGCGAGTAGATTGCAACCCGGAAGAGCCCGGGTCCGAGCGAGGCTCGCCACAGTTCGGCGAGCCCTGTTTATTAGCAACAGGCATTTGCACCCTAGGGGTTAGAGCTCATGGCTGAAGACAAGGAGACCTGGATCCCATTCCCAGCTCTTACTTAGGGAATGTCATTTTAAGCTCTTTGCCTCCATTAAAAAAGGGTTTAATCATGCTTCGTTTCCCTTATCTGCTTTCACATCTACAAATTAAGAAGAGAAGGTACAATACTGTTTCTTATGGAGTTGTTTGTCATGACTCCAGAGTTAGCTGAGTCCGAAGTTTTCAATTTAACAGAGGCTTTAATCCTTTATTTTGTGAAAATCTCAATAAAATGACCCAAACAATAAAACATACATAGTAAACTTTGTGTACTATTTTAATGTTTCATGGTGGTTTGATGAAAATTGGGATGATACAGAAAAATAGTAATTCTAAAATGACCCTTTTTCAGAGTTTTTCATGGGATTTGTTTTTGGGGGCTGGGGAGGAGGAGAAGATATCCTTTGCAAAAAATCTATTGCTTTGATCTCTATGAATCACCCCACATGTTGTCTGTTGTGTGCTGAATAATATAACATACTTTATATTGAAGGTATTTATCAGTGACATGAGTTTGAATTTTTTTTAATAACAGGAAAAAAATCAAGCTGAATTTTCTATATTTAGCAGTGATGATATAACATCTCCACTTTAGACGGGAAAGACATGTCTGCAGGAAAGTTCATTGAGATGGGAAACAGGTGCCCATGGGTTTAAAATCTCTGTTGATGGTTTTTTGTTGTGTTTTTTTTCCTTCCTCATGCACCTCATTCATCATCTTATTTCCCTAGACCATGAAATACAACCCTAGAAAGCAATTGTGTCGTCTCATTTAGAGAGACTATATAGATTTGCTGTGGGCAGTCAGGAGTAGAACCCAACGATGAAAATCCTGTCCATATTGAGGTCTGTGGCAAAATTCCCATAGGCACCCATATGGCCAAGATTTCACAAGAGGTGCCTGACATAGTAGACTCAAATCTTCTCTCTTAAGACAAACTGGTTTTTAGATTATTTTATATCTGACCATTAACGCACTAGCTTCTCCCAGAGCCAAAGCTAAAACCAAGATTTATGCTGTGTAATATGCTATGCTGTCTCCCAGGCATTTGTGACCCGCTAGGAAGCTGTGTATCAAGTCCTCCCTCCTCTGATAGCTGAATTAAATTTAAATTAGAAATTATTCCGGTAGGTGAAGTGCTAGAGACCTGGACTGGAGATGTCAGGGTGCACAGATCAAAGCTTACTGATGATTCATGTGCAATGTTTTGTGGCTGCAGATGACACTTGTTTCTTCATTCTATTTTCTGGTTTATTTACAGAATGAGAGAACATTCTGTAGCACACATCTGTAATTAAACAATTATTATAATCTGTAAATTATGACTGCCACGCAAAATACAGGTACAAAATACATTTGACTTTTATGTGAATAAAAAGAATATCCAAAGTTGTTTTAATAGATGCTAACATAGATTTTGGAAGAGGTATTAAATCTAAGCCTTCTGGTTTTAAAACCATATTAAATTAAAGGATTAGAAAATCTAATGCAAGTGGCAGATTATTTTACATATCCTGTTGTGAGGTTTCTGGCACCCATCTGGTGCTGGGTACTGCTAGAGGCAGTATAGTGGACAGGATAATGGATGGAGTGCCTTAAGATTTGCTTTGGTTTAAACTAAGGAATAATGACAAAGCTGTGGCCTCATACCGAAACATTTTAATTCATCCTTACTGGATCCCTGCTGTTTGAGAATTAAAATGTATATTGTCCTGTATAGACTGACAATATGTATGTGTGCACACCTCATGCTATCATGCTGCCAGCACATCTTCAACAGATTTGTAGAATGATAGCTGTCGTTTTTATAGCATTAAGTATGGCAGTATAAGGATCTTGTTGAGAGAGTAACATTTTTCCCTTTTGCATTTTTCTTGCAGAGTTGAGAAGAAAGAAAGAGCCCGCTTAAAGACAGTGAAATTTAATTCCAAAATGAGAGGAGATAAAGTGGTAAGTTTATGAAATGTTAATTACATTGTTCATTAACATGGATAGTAACATGTTTAAATAGCTTATGTATGTGGATTTAACTTTCCTTATTTAATGCTAAAAATTGAAAATGTCCATTAGACAGTAAGTTTATTCTAAAATTTGCAATTTAACAAATGGTAATTTTATAAACAACTCAGACAGTTTTGCCACAGTGTTCCCATATGTGTCTGAAAAACTAGGTTAGGAGTGAATGTTACTGTCAATAGTATAATATACAGAGAACGCCATAAACATAAATGGTCCTATATGGTGATAAATTGATGCCAAAAATAGTGTAGTATTTGAAAGCTATGGGTCTTTAAGGTGGATCACAATCATAATTATGTTCTTGGGGAGAGAGAGTGACTTTGTTCCTTTATCTTAAAAAGGGGCTACTCTCTACAGTATTTTTTTAATAGTTAAGACCTTTAAACAATTTTAAACAATTTTATGTCTGATGATAATTAACCTACATAAGTCAATTAAGGGATGTGTGAGAGAGATTCTCATTGTCAGTTAAGTGTTAACCTACAGCTTTTGTTATTGGTTCATCAGAAATTGAAGGGTAGCTGGTGCATTTCAAAAACTGCTGTTTTAGAGGGAAAATGGCAAATATTAAGACAGAGGTAATATTTCACCAAATTATTACAAATGACCCGAAAAAGAATTGGAATACATAGCCTTCCAAAATAATCTCAGGAAAAATCCATTATTACTGTTTTTAACATAGTCTAACCTTTTTTTTCAAAATTTAGAACAATTATATTGGTCCTGCCTTGAGGGCGGGGGGCTGGACTCGATGACCTCTTGAGGTCCCTTCCAGTCCTATTATTCTATGATTCTATATTCTGCAATGATTTTGATCATTTTGAGCCCCGAGTGATTCATAGAATTCTAAAACTGGAAGGGACCACAAGATGTCATCCAGTTGAATCCTCTGCACTCATGGCAGTACTAAGTATTATCTAGACCTGGGGTGGGCAAACTTTTTGTCCTGAGAGCCGCATCGGGGTTCTGAAATTGTATGAAGTAGGGAAGGTTGGGGGAGGCTGTGCCTCTCCAAACAGCCAACTGTGACCCAGTCCCCACTTCCTATCTGATTCCCCCCCCCCCCTCGCGCCCCCCCGGGGCCCCGACCCCCCTCCCAGTCTCCCCAGTACCTCTCCCCTATCCAGCCTGCCTGCTCCTCACTCCTAATTGCCCCCCCAGAACCACCCCAGCTCACTGACTATGCTGCCTAGCCAAACCTGTAGCCACGCCACCAAGAGCACAAGATTAGGTGGTGCTACAGCTATGCAGCCCAGTCAGAGCTCCCAGCTGTGCCGCAGCAAATGACCTGCCCAGGTGCTGGGGTATCTGAGGCTGCCGGGAAGGAGAAACAGAAAAGGAGGCACCAGGGATAGACTCCCTGAGTAGGAGCTCAGGGCCAGACAGAAGGGTCTGGCGGGCCCAATGTGGACTACAGGGTGTATTTTGTCCCTTTCTGATCTAGACCATCCTGACGTGTGCACACCCACTTGAATAGTTGTTGGAGACTTTTACCTTTGCATTATCCATCAGGCTCGCTGTGGTGCCCCCTTGAGTGCCACGCTCATGCATCAGTATCTCAGGCATCATCAGCCCGCAGTTCCTTCTTAGTGCCCATGGTCGTTACCTTTGGTTTTTTCTTACTCTTCAAACTTCATGCTCCAGCTATAAATAGTTGGTTTTTCTAGCAGATGAGAGAGTAAGTAGCTGTTCACTACTGTAGTTAGTCAGGGTCCTGGTGAGAACTTTGCCCCAGGTGGGGTATGCCCCCATCTGTTGGTTTTATGCCCTGCTCAAGTGCCTGAGGAAAACTTACATTAAAGAAAAGTGTTGCACCTGTCAGAACTTTCATCCCAAGACACAGAACGAATGCAACATTCAATTGAGGGCCCTCCTCATGGAAGATACTCTTTGCCCAACTCTGGAGCCAGGCCAGCCAAACACCACACCCTGCGGTATATAATACACTCCTGGGCTCTTCCCAGTGCCAATACTCATCACTGGTGCCCAAGACTCAGCACTGAACAAGTCAGATCAAGGGACACTGGGCAAAGGATCCTGATCAGACCACTTGGCCACACTGGAGCTGCAAGGGGACGCCCTCTCCCGCCCCCCAAAGAGATCATATAAGGCAGGGATGGGACACCTAAGGCCTGGGGAGTGGATGCAGCTCCTTGCTTGCCTGGATCTGTCCCCTGAGGTTTGGGGATTTCCCCCCCCCACACACACACACACCCTGCATTGGGGAGTCCCCCTGGTGCTGCCAGCCCCTGCCATTCTTAACCGGGCTGGAGCACACACAATCTACTAGCCTCCTCCCTCTGCCTCCCCTCCCAGGCTCTGGTTTGCAAGGGTAACGTAGAGAATGTCTCTCTCCTTTTCAGTCGGTGGCTGCCTCAGTGAGGTTTTTTTTCCTTCTCACTTTTGTGGCCTCCTCCTGATTTTTCTGTGGGTCAGCAGCCCCCAACCCAAAAAAGGTTCCCCACTCCTGTATTACTATCAAATGCCTTCTGAAAATCAACGAAGCAATTGTAGATGTTCTTGTTCTTTTGCCAAGCTTTCTCTGCTATCAATCTTAGTGCCAATATCTGCTGTATGGTACTTCTGTCTTTCCTGAATCCCGCTTGCTCATTCGCCAGATGTTCTTCTGTCTGTGATCTCAGTCTCTCCGTCAGTATCATCATCAGCACCTTGCCTAGATGACTCGTTCAGGCAATCGTTCTGTAGTTCTTGCACTCCAATGCGCTTCCTTTCTTGTGTATTGTCACTAGCACAGATCTTGTCCATTCCTTAGGTGCCTTCCCTTCTTTCTACTCTATATTACATAGTCGGTGTGTTTCCTGAATCATACTTTCTCCACCATATTTGATCATCTCTCCCATGCTCTTATCATTTCCAGGGCTCTTGTTGTTCTTTAGTCGTTTCACTGCTCTTTCTACTTTCTCCTTCAAAATATCAGTTTCTCTCTCTACGCTCGGTGGTGATATCTCTTTCAGTTCTTCTATCAGTCTCTCTGAGACACTCAGGTCCAACTGTGCTTTGCACAGATCAGTACAGTATCTCGTCCATCACTGCACAACCTTCTCCATGAGCACCTTATCATTCTCGTCTTTGATTGCCATCTGCTCCCCCTGCCACTTCCTATTAATATTCCTAATCATTTTATACACCTCCCTGATCTTACACTCATTGTAATACCTCTCTATATCTTCACACTTCTCCTCTAATCAATTCGCCTTATCCATTCTGGCCACTTTCCTTACCTCGTTGCATTTGACAGTATAGATCAGAAAGTGACTTGGGTGGTGTTGGAGTCATATGGAGTGGATAGCAGACTGATATGGTTGTTGAACGATATCAACGATAATGCTGAGGCAGCGTTGTGAACATGCAGAGAGTTGGGAAGTTGGTTTAGAATGAGACAAGGAGATCCGATATCACGTGTATCTTCATCACACACCTAGAGAGAGCGATGGACAAGATCAAGGAAGAGGTAGAAGGGATATCGGTGCACGGGATGAGAATTAACAACTTGAGGTTTGCGGATGATATAGTTATCATCGAGGAAGATGAAGAGAAGCTAGCGAGAATGGTGCAGGTGCTAAATGAGGAAGGGAAGCAGTATGGACTGATTATGAATATTGATGAAACGAAGACAATGGTATTTGGAGATAAGGAAATAGGAAGGAAGATCAGTGTAGATGGGATCCAACTAGAGAATGTAGAGAAGTTTAATGTATTTGGGGAGCAACATGACGTATGATCTAAACTGTAAGAAGGAAATAGCGACTAGAATAGAGAAAGCAAGAGTGAGTTTGAAGGCAATGGATAAGATCTGGAAAAGTAAAGTGATTAGCTTAGGAATGAAGCTGAGCAACTTGAAAACGTGTGTATTTAGCAGCATGTTGTGCAGATGTGAGACTTGGGTAATAACGAAAGATTCTAAGAGAAGGATATTGGCATTCGAGAGGAGTTGTTATAGGAAGCTCCTGAGAATAGGATGCATGCAGAAGGTCACCAAGGAGGAAATATATAGGAAGATACAGCCGAAAGAGAACCTACTTCAGAAGGTTATACAACGGAAGTTACAGCTATTCGGACATATCTGCAGAATGAACAATGAGTGAAAAGTTAAGCCGTTGGTATTTGGCATAATAGATGGTCCGAATAGGAGAGGCAGACCCCACAGATAATGGGTAAATGATATAATATATTGGTGTGGAGCTAATGTAAAGAAACTAAGCCACCCTGCACTGAACAGGGAAAGCTGGAAGGAAATAGTGAGGGAGTCATCGGACACCAATGGGAGTTGAGCCCATGGATGTTGATGATGATGATTTCTGTATTAAAGGATTCATCACCGTCTCCGAGGAGTGGTAGGTGACCCAGACTGATGGCTCAGCTCTCAGTGCCAAGAGAGCAAAAGACTCTCCCACTGCAGCTGGCACCACATGCAGTGATGGATCTTTCTAAAGTTCCCTACTATAGCAATCCAACCATGAAGATTGCCCAGAAGGCAAGAAGTAGCACTGTCCTCTGAAGCTGAGGCGCAGACCCTTTTGTTGCCATGCCCTGAGTCTCCACATCTGCCCAGGTCACCAGTTCACCGTTACAGATTGCCACTAGAATGACCTACGTAGCCACATGGAAATGATTCATATGTTGAGTCACAGTCCAAGAGGTTAGGCCTGAGCAAGCCTCTCTGCAGCTGATTCTGGATTACCTTATGAATCTCAAGCTCCAAGGTCAACCCTTTGGTAAGTTAAGGTCCACTTGGCCACTATACCAGCCTTTCGCCCTCTGTTCCAGGGCAGGGCAGTGTTCACTCATAGCATGATGGTACAGTTCTTAAAAGTTCTGGAGAGGCTCTGTTTCCAAGTCCAGGGCCCAGTTCCTCCATGGGACTTGAATCTGATGCTCACCTAGCTCATGAACACTCCATTTGAGGCCAT